AATAAATCAAGTAGAAAAAAGTCCAGCTTTATGTTTTAGATACAAAAATGTAGTTATATGTATTATTTAAAGCTCCCTAATATGCTCTGTGGCCCTCGGAAAAGTGAAATTCCTTGACATGGCCTGAAGAACCATCAGCCCGCACACGCCCGCCCCCGCACCCCCACAGCCCCCCCCGCACCCCCCCACGCCCGCCCCCGCACCCCCCACAGCCCCCCGCACCCCCACGCCCGCCCCCGCACCCCACACGCCGCCCCCGCGCCCCCCACACGCCCGCCCCCGCCCCCTCCACACGCCCGCCCCCGCCCCCTCCACACGCCCGCCCCCGCGCCCCCCCCACCCCCGCCCCAGCACTCGCCCCCTCCCCCTGCCGCACAGGCCGCAGCTCCCCCCGCACACGCCGCCCCCACATTCCCCGCAGCAGCGTCAAGGCAAGGCACCTGCTCTGTGTGTCCTTCCGCAGACCCCACTGGGTCCTGCGCCCACCCACCCACGCTGCGCACTGAGTTCTGCTCCCCTTTGGGCCCTCAGAGAAACTGCCTCAGCAGAGACTTTGCGAGGCTGTCCTTCCACACTTCTCTCGGCCACATGGCCCTGACCGAGGTCCCCAAGGAGACTCTGGCTGTTCTGGTGGCAGGGCCCAACGCCCTCTCTCTCTCTGCTCACACCCCAGACAGAATCACCTCCTCCTGAAACTCCCCAAACCCCAGTCCCTCTCCTCCCTCCCTCCCAGGAGTGCATGGTCCTTGCTTCCCGAGCTCCCACGCTCCCCTCGGAGTGCTTCCAGACGCTGCAGGAACAGGTGTTTCCTCCTCTCACTGGGGGTGGACTGGGCCTGCGGGGTGGACGGGGGCCTGCGGGGTGGACGGGGGCCTGCGGGGTGGACGGGGCCGGCGGGGTGGACGGGGCCTGCCGGGGTGGACGGGGCCTGCCGGGGTGGACGGGGCCGGCGGGGTGGACGGGGCCTGGCGGGGTGGACGGAGCCGGCGGGGTGGACGGGGTCGGCGGGGTGGACGGGGCCTGGCGGGGTGGACGGGGCCGGCGGGGTGGACGGGGGCCCGCGGGGTGGACGGGGCCCTGCGGGGTGGACGGGGCCGGCGGGGTGGACGGGGCCTGGCGGGGTGGACGGAGCCTGGCGGGGTGGACGGGGCCCGGCGGGGTGGACGGGGCCCTGCGGGGTGGACGGGGCCGGCGGGGTGGACGGGGCCTGGCGGGGTGGACGGAGCCTGGCGGGGTGGACAGGGGTGGACGGGGCCTGCGGGGTGGACGGGGCCTGCGGGGTGGACAGGGGTGGACGGGGCCTGCGGGGTGGACGGGGCCTGGGGGGGGGCCGGGGGCCTGGCGGGGGGGGGGGTGGGCGGGGCCTGGCGGGGTGGACGGGGGTCTGCGGGCCACTGCATGTCAGCTTTGGCCACCCTGCCCGCCTCTGGCTGGAGATGAGAACATGAATGAAACGCCCCGCCGCCTGGGTTGGGTCTGCTGACCTGGTACCTACAGCCACGAACCACCATCACGGGTACTGTGAGCGGTCAAGTGGGGAAGGTGGGCACTCGGGGGCGTCTCTACACTGTGCAGTGGCGGGAGCCGGGGTTCATCCGGCTGTGACAGCAGCAGGGGCCACCACGGAAGCCATTTCAACCACCTGCGCATCCCTCTTCCCAGTGACAGGGACTGATGGAGAGCCTGTCCATTGCGCAGTTACCATGGCGACCAGTGACACGATGCTGCCCTGCCCCAGCCAGGCCAGTTTCCCTCGATTCTGCTCATTATTCCAGAGGGAGAAGGACTGGCAGGTGTGGTGAGGACTCCTCTCCTCTGAATGGGGAGACTGTTGGCGACCATGGCACAGAAAGGCTGTTTGTTACATGGCACTTTGTAGTGCCCCAGGTGCCCTGTGGGTGCGCACTCAGGGAGAAGCAGGTGGGGGTGCACCCGGAAACATCTGTATGGGGTGCAGGGCGAAGAGACCCAGTCTGAGACGTCGGTGCCCCCAGGCTGCCCAGGACTCCAGGGCGGCATTTCGGCAGAAGGCACCGTCAGAAAGTACTGCTGTGGCTCACCAGACCCCTTGGGCCTAGTTCAGCTGGAGGCTGCCCCTGAACGGGGTGCTGAACCTCAGCCAGGCTACAAGCTGACCAGAAGGCAGCAGAGGCCGAGAGGTCCGGCATCAGCCGGTGTCAGCGCCGAGAGCTGGTTCTTCCCAGGCCCTGCAGGCCAAAGCTGCAAACACAACTCGCTCTTGCTAATTTAAGGAAGTTACGTATGAAAGACTGCTGGGCACTCAGTCTCTGGGCGGCAGGGTTAGTCTCAGAAGGTTTCCAGCCAGGGCAGTGCCAGACCCATCCGTGAGGCTTCCCTGGGCCAGACCTCACGGCTCCTGGAGGCGTGCACCGCCCAGCATGCAGGACACGGGGCATCGAAGCCCACCCGCACCGGCTGTGACCGGGCACCCCACACCACAGTCCACCTGCTGCCCTGAAAAGCTCAGATGTTTTCACCACCCATGGCCTCTCCTGGTTTGGTCACCTGAGTGGACACGGGCAGAGTTCGGGTCATGCATCCGCACCTTTCCCGAGAGGCAGCAGGGAGCAGCCTGCCTGGACCAGGCGGGCAGGACTCACGCACAGGGGGGGAGCCCCTAGGGAGGCAGTGCCAAGCCCTCCAGCCCCACGGCACCTCTCAAAGCCACGTGCCATACCTTCATACACAGGTCGCCTCCAGTCTCCTCCAGGTCAGGGGACCCGCCGGACTTCTCCCAGCAGACTGGTCCCAGACACCTAGACCTGGACTTGGTTCCTCCGGCTACCGGGCACTCCCACCCGACCTTTCGGCCTCCAGCCCTGCTACCCCACTCACGGGTCCAGGCCCATCGTCCCCCTCACCTGGCACAGCAACGCCTTCCCCCAGCTCCCGCCATGGTGGCCCCACACCACCCCTCCTCCCAGCTGTGCCTGGTGCTATTCATTACACCGTCAGCCGTCTGGCCCCCATCCCGTGTGGGCCCACTGCCTTCGAGAGGGAACTCAACCCAGATCCTGCGGCAACTTCTGTTTACTCCTTTAACTCTCACGCACTGTACCCAGTAATCCACTTCTCTAACAGAATAAACCAGTACAAAGGTCCCAAACACACACTACACGGCACGTGGCAGCACACATAGTCCGTGGAGGGAAGTGCCACCTTCAGAGGGACACACGGGCCCAGCGTGAGGCAGCCCCAGCCTTCGGACGGCCTGGCTGCCTCCAGCCTGCCTCCAGCTCTGTGAGCTCTCTGCACTGGTTTCTCCCACTGCTAGAACAGGGCGGTGCTTCTCCACTTCCATCTCTTGCTCCAGAGAGCACCCTCTCCGTTCCCTGGCTGTCACTCCGCAGCTCCTTCTGGGCTGGGCTCGTCAGGAAGCCCTTCCCCCCCTGCCAGTGCCCAGGTGCCCACACCAGGTCCACCCCGCAGCCCCGGCCGCACGCTCCCTGGCCAGCCTGTGAGCACTGAGGGCTGGCAGAGCCCTGTCCTGTAGGCAGGCACACTGACTCCAGCCGGCTCATGTCCCACTCGGGGTCCCCCTGCCACCTGTGAGCCCAGTGTGGCTTCGGCAGAGGCACGGGCAGGCCACCTTCCCCGAAGAGTAGCGGGGCGAGGCGAGGGGACATCTGCCTCCCACCTTGCGTCCGTCAGTTGGGAGAAAATACGCCCCGCGGTACCAAGTGTCATCTCCACCTGTCGCCCATGAGAGGCTGCTTTCTGGGACACTTCTGGTCGTCCTCTGGTTAACTGGACCCCAAAGGTGGTGTGTTAATGATCCTGGAGCCCCCTGTCTTCTGTCTTTTCAGTCTTCGAGAAGAGGGTGATTTCCGAGTGAGGTTGGGGAGAGTGCCATGTCGTGTTGTGTGGACAGTGGGAGAGTCCCGTGTCGCGTGGACGGGGAGAGAGTCCTGTGCTGCGTGGACGGGGTGGGGGAGAGAGTCTCATGTTGCGTGGACGGGGGGAGAGTCCCGAGCCGCGTGGACGGGGGGAGAGTCCCGTGCCGCGTGGAGGGGGGGGGAGTCCCGTGCCGCGTGGACGGGGGTCCCGTGCCGCGTGGACGGGGGGAGGGTCCCGTGCCGCGTGGACGGGGGGAGGGTCCTGTGCCGCGTGGATGAGGGGAGAGCCAGGCCCCGTCCCGGGCCTGTCAGGTCTGCTGGCCCCCTCCTGGCTGTGTGGCTTCAGAGGGTCGGCGTGGGCTCCTGGGGGCGCCACGGAGTCAAGCTCCCATGGTTCTCACGAGCTCAGTGTTAAGCTTCCAGACAGCTGCGTCCGCCGGCAGGCCTGTGAGATCCACCCCATAACGGCCCTTCTCTTCCCACCATACGGGGAGCAGACGGGTTCTCCTTAAACCATGTCAGCCCATCAACAATGCTGGTGCAAAGGTGAGGGGTCGGCCATCTCTCCTGGCTGCAGAGCCCCTCAGACAGGGGCTGGGTCTCATGACTAGCCCCGTGCTGGGCGGGGCTGCCCCACCACACCCTGTCAGTGCCTGGCAAGCAGGAGGCCCATGAGGCCGACCCACAGCCGCCTCCCAGCCTCAGCGAGGGTCCCTGCGCTTCCCTGTTGATCTTGGTGTGTGCGGTCCACAGGGTGGGGCGTGTCCGGCCCACGGGCGTCTGAGACCTGTGAAGTCAGTACCAGCGAACATCACAGGCCTCACCAAGTCAGCCTGACCAAACAGAGCAGGCTAATTTTTAAGGTGATAATTTTGTGTGGCCTGCGAATGCGGTTATAAATACCCAAATGGCCCTTGGCGGAGACAAGGTTCCCCACCCAAACACCTGTAAGTTCTCTGACCCGGCGCAGCCGCCAGGGCAGGGTCAGTCTGCACGCTTCCTGGAGACCGCAGAGCCCCGACCGGGACACGCCCACGCAACTCGCCCACCCCATTCCCACGCGCACGCTCCAGACCGATGGGTGGGCCCGAGAACCAGCCCCCGAGACGTTACGGAGAGCGAGGTCCCAGACATGGCACGTACCTGTGGGGACGGTGCTGCGGGCCTGGCTGGCCCCTGGCAGAGCGGGGTGCCACAGACAGCTGCCCAGGGGCGGAGAGGCTGCCGGGTGCTGGGCCTGCGGCGTGAGGGGCAGGGCTGGCCTCACGGCAGGGGCGGGGCTGCTCAGACTCCCGCCGCCTGGGTGCAGGGTTGTGGTCATCCCTTTGGCCAGGGGAGACCCTCCAGCCACATTGTTGCGGGGTGGCCCAGCCCCTCCTGAAGGAGCCCTGAGGAAACAAAGCAGAATGAAGTCAGGATGTGCAGACGACCATCGCAGGCCTGCTCCTGCGTGCTGCTCCCGGACGAGAACCCCCGAACACGCCAAGGCCACCCCGTAGGCAAGCGGTACCCAGGGCTGCAGCTGCGAAGGGCACCCTTCATCACCTTCACGGGCGCACACGCCGACCCCTAACCGACAGGAAGCACTCTGTACCGGCTGCTGTCTGACTCCTCCTAACAGACAGCTGTGTGTCCCCACACCCACCAGGCCTGGACATAGCTGACCCGTGTGGGAGGCAGGGGCAAGGACCCACCCCCTCAGGACACGGCCACCGCCGCAGCGGCTGGCCTCTGGGAAGGGCACGCCACACCGTGTCCTACCAAGGGATGTTGGGGAACTTACAGTCTCACCCAGAACACAGATGTCCGTCACCCCAGGGTGTCCAGATGAGACCCAAGTAGAGTGTTTAAGAAGGACAAAAGGAGCCCGGCCGGTGTGGCTCAGTGGGTGAGTGTCGACCCTGCACCAAGAGGTCGCCGGTTCGATTCCCAGTCAGGGCACATGCCCAGGTTGTGGGCCCGATCCCCAGTGGGGGGCATGCAGGAGGTGACCAGTCAATGTTCTCTCTCATCAATGTTTCACTCTCTCTCTCCCTCTCACTTTCTCTCTCTCTAAAATCAATAAAAGAAATATAAAATTTAAAAAAAAATGGAAAGGAAAACAGCAGCCTGGAAAGTGGGCCGTCCACCCTGGCGCAGTGTGCCCAGGTGCGCTGGCTGTGGGGCATGGAGCTGGGCAGCCTTGGCTCTTGGAAGCTTCTAGGGGTTTCGTTTCAGGGGACTGGAAAGCCTTCCATTGGTCCGAGGGCTCGGGAAACGCCCTTGATGCTCTTGGGATCTCAGACCAGAGGCCACAGGTGGGTGAGAACAGGGACCCCCAGGCCCGCGGGGTCAGACTCCACATGGGGGGAGCTGCAGCCTCCCGGAGGCGTCTGCTGAGCAATGGGGGGGGGGGGGGTGGCGCCCAGGGAGGGTCTGACACGGGCCAGGCAGCACCTTCCTTTCTTAGGCTTGGAATTCACTTCCTGCCTGGCCGGCCAACACCATGACTTTATTTTTTTAATCATAACTGCTACCTGCTGAACTCACTTTTGCCCCAGCAAATTTTAAAAAATTAAATAAAGTGGCCTCACAAATTATAAGCCTTCCCAGGAAGGGCCGTGGCACAGGAGGGGTGACCCCGGCTCCAGGCCTTGGACAGTATGGGCCAGTCTGTCGCCGACGCGAGGGGCCAGCGCCGTTAACTTTCGCAGCGGCCTGCTTCGGAGACAGCGCAAACCACCGCGTGTCTGCAGCCTGTCTGAGCGTCCCGAGTGTCCCACTTCCTGGGAGACTGGCCGAAAGAGAGCTGACCATCTCAAAATCCTCAAACAACCCTGGATAACACTTAGTGAATGTTTAAGTTGCTCTGTTTTTATAAAAACAACGTAACAGAGATTTTGCAAAATGCAGGAAAGCACGAGGCAGGAAGACTGATCTCTGATGACACCCTTACTAAGAATTGCTCACTTCGAGGAACACGCTGTTCTTCCTTTGCGCGCGCACACACACACACACGCGTGTGCTGCTGTATGTAGAGCAGTCCCGGTGACGCACAGGCACCCCCATGCCCTGCGACCTCACTCCCCGTGGTGGCTCTGTCCCCACTCAGTGTGGGGCCCTGCTCCCACCCTCTCCCCTGGGCAGCCAGCGCCTGCTGGGGCAAGACAAGAAAACCTAACTCCAAAGGTCAAAGCCTGCCACACAGAATCCTTGTTCAAGGGCATTCACAGGGCCGAGCCCCACGGGTGGGGTGTCCTGGCTGCCTTCTGCAGGGCGCTGGGCAGCCCAGACAGCAGGGCAGTGACCACAGCGGGGGGGGGGGGGGCCCTCCTCTCCGGCAGCGCCTGGCCTCACCTGGAAGCAGGCGTCACGTAGTTCCCTGGGAACACCCCCGAGCGCCCGGACCGCAGGGATGTGCCCTTGAACCAGCCGTCCTGGCACTTCTCCAGGACGCGGTACATCTCCCCCTTGCGCAGCTCCAGCTCGTCCTTCTTCTGGGGCTTGTAGGCGTAGAGCGCCAGGTACCTGCAGGCAGAGGCGCGAGGGTCAGCCACCGGTCACAGGTGCGCTCTCCTTCGGGTGAACCCACTAGAAAAGGGGCCGGCACGCCCAGCACGTGACCCGCTCCTCAGACAACCCAGTGAGAGCTGGGGGCTCCCGCACGGCCGGGTCCGGGAGGCGGTGTGATACCGGAGCCTGCGCCCCCCAGGCACCTGCATGGCCGGCACCTTCCGTCTGAGCTGGGAGGCTCGGGCCCTGGGTCTGTCAGAGCAGATGCCGCCAGCGGGCCTCGCTGCCTGCCCTTTGTTTCCTGCTCGTTGCACTGCCTGCCACAGGGTGCTCTGGGCAAGGGGCACCTGCAGGGCGGACCGGGCAAGTTCACAGGCTGGACCTGGCTCCGCATTCAGTCCCGGCCCTGGCTCATGGAGCGGCCTGAGCGGGAAGAGGCCTCGGACCCTTGCAAAGAGAAGGTGGCCCAGTTAGGGAGTTTTCCTGGTTACATTCTTCCTTGCAATATTTACACCACGACTAAGTCTGTAAATTCTGCTTTTTAAAAAGCTTATTTGAAGCCCGGCCAGTGTGGCTCAGTGGGTGAGCGTTGAACCCTGCACCAAGAGGTCGCCAGTTCGATTTCCAGTCAGGGCACATGCCCAGGTTGTGGGCCGATCCCCAGTGAGGGGCATGCAGGAGGCGGCCAATTGATGTTCTCTTTCATCCATGTTTCTATCTCTCTCCCTCTCCCTTCCTCTCTCTCTAAAATCAATAAAGAAAAACAAAACTTATTTGAAGACAAGGAAAGAACACACTCAGTAGTAAAAATCCTGGCTTAGGGCCCAGAAGGCGGGCCTCCAAGTTACCACGAGCGACAGCAAGTGCCCTGGTAAACACCTCGTGAGCTCGGCGCCCAGCCTCACGGGGTTCAGGTGAGGACAGCAGAGCGCTCTGCACCCCGGGGTTCGAGAAGGGTTCCTTGTGAGCTGGTCATGAGAACTGTGTGGGGCAACTGTGTTCGTTCAGGAGATCCAGGCAGGAGAGCTGGTCCTGGTGCGGATGCCCAGGTGACACCGGACCCGCTGGTCCTGGTGCGGATGCCCAGCTGTCAGCGGACCCAGCTGGTCCTGGTGCGGATGCCCAGGTGACAAGGAGACAAAGGTGTAAACCCCGTCTGCACAGTGGACGACTCTCGGGGAGCCCCTGATGGTGACGGAGGGGTCAGTCCAGATAGAAGAGCCCGGAGGAAGCTGCACCTGGACGCCAACACGGCGCAGCGCCCTCTGCTGTCCGGCTGCCTCCATGGCCGAGACGGGCAGCCACACGGCCCAGCTCAGGCCAAAGGAGGAGGAACAGAGAGGGGGTCCCTGGGGCCTGAAACCGACAGAAACGGAGCAAGACCTTCTGTGCCCGCTCTCCAGGGAATACAACAGAAGCCCGAGCCCTGGGCAGCTTTGCCTCATTTTATCTCTTCGTGGTATGAGGACCATCATTTTTGTTCCGGGGCCAGTGAACACACACTGGCAGGAACAGCATGCCAAGGGGGCCACATCTCCCTGGGGTGCACAAGTCCGCAGGGCCCTTCCAGCAGTCACACATCCTTGGTCAGGGGTGGGGCCGCCACCCACCTTTGCTCCATGAGGCCTCATCCTGTGTCAGTCAGACTGGGCCCCAGGCTCTGTTCCACTCACTGCCGGTCCTGGGCAGAGCCTGGCCGGCGCTCAGCAGTGACACGTGGCCCTGGAGGCCCCCTCGCAGCCCCACCCCTCCACCCAGCCCAGGGGGAGGCATCCACGGGCCAGCCTCCGCATCCTTCTCCTGGCCAGCGGTCTCTGCATCAACATCTGCTCATCGAAGACCCTTCCCGGGGGCCTTCCACACGGGGAGAGGGGGGGGTCGAGAAGGGCCAGCCCCTCCAGGCAGGTGCTGTGGAAGATTCCACGTGGGGGGGGGGTTGAGAAGGGCCAGCCCCTCCAGGTGGGTGCTGTGGAAGATTCCACGTGGTGGGGGGTTGAGAAGGGCCAGCCCCTCCAGGCGGGTGCTGTGGAAGATTCCACGTGGGGGGGATCGAGAAGGGCCAGCCCCTCCAGGCAGGTGCTGTGGAAGATTCCACATGGTGGGGGGTTAAGAAGGGCTGGCCCCTCCAGGCAGGTGCTGTGGAAGATTCCACGTGGGGGGGATCGAGAAGGGCCAGCCCCTCCAGGCGGGTGCTGTGGAAGATTCCACGTGGGGGGGATCGAGAAGGGCCAGCCCCTCCAGGCAGGTGCTGTGGAAGATTCCATATGGTGGGGGGTTAAGAAGGGCTGGCCCCTCCAGGCAGGTGCTGTGGAAGATTCCACGTGGGGGGGGGGTTGAGAAGGGCCGGCCCCTCCAGGCGGGTGCTGTGGAAGATTCCACGTGGGGGGGGGGTTAAGAAGGGCTGGCCCCTCCAGGCGGGTGCTGTGGAAGATTCCACGTGGGGGGGGTTGAGAAGGGCCGGCCCCTCCAGGCGGGTGCTGTGGAAGATTCCACGTGGGGGGGGTCGAGAAGGGCCAGCCCCTCCAGGCGGGTGCTGTGGAAGATTCCACATGGGGGGGGTTAAGAAGGGCCAGCCCCTCCAGGCGGGTGCTGTGGAAGATTCCACGTGGGGGGGGTTGAGAAGGGCCGGCCCCTCCAGGTGGGTGCTGTGGAAGAGTCTGAACTCCCTGGTCTTCCTCCCTCGCTGCACTCCCTGTACGAGCAGAGGAATGTTCAGCAGCGGTGATGGAGCATCTGGTCCTCACTGAGGATTTGGGCAGGACGTGGCCACTTGCTAATCTACCTCCTGAGGGTGGCCCAGTGACAATACGAAGGGAAACCAAAGTCCAGCCCAGAAAGGACCCAGCAAACCTTGGCTCAGGGAGGCTCCACTCTGAGGTGTTCCCTGGATGTACAAACCATGGTCCTGCCTGGAGACCTTCCCCTTCCTGTCCTCTTGGTTGAGACCTCTCATCTCCTCTCCTGCCTGCCTCCACCCCTACACAGCATGATCCACAGGAGGCGACTGTCATCTGTTTTGTTCACCGCTCTATCCCACCATCTAGAATAATGTCTGGGACACAGCAGGTACCCAATAAATGCTGCCGAAAGAAAAATAAAATAGAGGCTCTGAGTTTGAGACTAAGGTTGAGATTGGTGAGGAAAAAGGGTATGTGAGTGCATGTGCCTGAGTGTGCCTGAGTGTATCTGTGTGAGTGTATGTGCATGTGCCTTAGTGTATGTGCGTGTACCCGTGTGTGCGTGTGCCTGTGTGTGTGTGCCTGTGCCTGTGTGTGTGCGCCTGAGTACATGTGCATGTGCCTGTGGGAGAGCGTGTGCATGTCAGTGCATGTGCCTATGCGTGTTCATGTGCGTGTGAGTACGTAGGCCTCTGTGTGCCTGTGTGTATGTGCCTGAGTGTGTGAGCATATGTATGTGCGTGCATGTGCCTGAGTGTGCATACATGTGTGAGTGCATGTACGTGTGTATGCCTGTGTGTGCATGTGCCTGAGCACGTGGGTGTATATGTACGTGTGCCTGTGTGCATGCGTGTGAGTGCATGCGTGCGTGTGTGTGCCTGAGTGCTTGTGCATGTGTGTGTACGTGTCCTGGGAACTGCTTCATACTGCCCCGAGGTCCGCCAATTGACCTTGAACATGAAAAGCAGCACAGAGCAACATGTCTGGGCTCTCCCCTCAGATCCCTAGGGAGAGCTGGCGTCAGTGTGGAGGTGGAGCCCCGGGACATGCTCAGGGAAGGATAAAGAAAACACAGAAAGGAGAGGGAATGAAACAGAGGAGGGCACCGAGGGGAAGAGCTCAGACAGAAAGGAGACACAAAGGCAGGGGGGGAGGGGAGGGTGCAGCTGAGGCGCCCACAGGATGAGGCTCGTGCGAGAGTAGAGACTCCTGGAGCTGCTTTCTGCACAGACCCCAAACCAGGAGGTGCCAGGCTCTCTGCCCAGGGCGCTGTGGGCGGCCTGTGACGAAGGGGCCGCTGTGACTGGAGTTCCTTCCCTGCCCTCCACCTACCCTCCCGCTCTGGGGCCTGGGACCTTCCCGCTCTGGGCCCTGGGACCTTCCCGCTCTGGGGCCTGGGACTGGAGTGCCTTCCCTGCCCTCCACCTCCCCTCCCACTCTGGGGCCTGGGACCGCCACGGTTCACCTGCACTGGCCACCTGCTGCTGGAGTGTGGAGCTATGGAACCAGGAGCCGTCCCTGCTGGAGAGAGGACAGGCCCCGGTGACAGGTATACAAGGCCCATGGTGGCTCAGCCGCCGAGGCCCAGGCCTGCCCCCGCTCACACAAGTCTCGGTGCCCATTACCATCCAACATCCACAGCAGCGAACCCATAATCCCGATTCAGGAAACAGAGCAAGTGCTAGGAATTGTGAAGAATGTGCAGGAAACAGCGAGTGGCTGGACAGTCATGCTGTGACCTGGAGAGTGACCATCAGATCACTGCACGTAACTGTGTCTTCAGAATGAGCTGTCTTCCCAGGCCATTCAATGGGACAAAGACTCTGCGACCACGGCTCAGCATAAGGGGCACTTTCTGCGCAGGGTCTGCTGTGATGACGTGTCCGAGGCTAGTTTGCGAGGAGGCGGGTCTGGGTCTCACCCTGCACCGTGCCGCTGACGCCGGCGTTTTAACGGGGAAACGTTGCCATGTCTCTCGCTGTCAGCTTTTCTGTCTATCGGATGCCCGGTCACACAGACATTCTGCGGCGCTCAGCACTGGGCAGGACGAGAGGCGCCACTTCCAAGGATGGCACCACTCCCGAGGGTGGCACACCCCCGCATCACAGGCCCCGAAGTCCTCGGAGCAGGAGCTCGGGCTTTACCTCTCTGACCAGAAGTTGCGTCTGCGGGCCCCAGAGACAGCCACGCCGTGGCCTGGGCAGGACAAGGGCAGAAAATGCATTTTCCATGTGCCCGCCGCTCACAGGGCCTCACCTACATCCCACGAGCCCGGAGGCTGGTCAGTCCCTCCGTTCCCACGCCGACACCGCGCTGAGGGGCAGGCTGGGTTCCGTG